GAAACCACCGAGTAAAATTGAAGGAAATGAAAGTTGTGGATTAATTTTTCTAAGTGAGATTTCGTTTATTTTCAGGATAAAAAAACAACTGGGAGACAAGGTCTTGGTATGAAAGACAGGCCTAGAAAAGTTGCTGGTGTTCACTTCGGAGGGAAAAAGACGACCTTTGGTGACAGTAATAGTGATGATGAAGATTCTCAGAGTGCTGGTTCTGTAGAGAGAGAAGAACATGATGAGATGCCTGAAACCGACAGTGGTAGGGAGCCAAAAGTGAAGCTGAAAAATCTGTGCCGCCAGTTGCTTCGCCAGGTTTGTTTTCCTTGTATCAATAAGCCTTAAAGTAAATATGTCAGTTTTGCTGAGAAGCTAGGTGGTTGTTGCAGGTACCTGGAAAAACTTTAAAGCTGAAAGAGCTGAAAGCTATGGTAGATCAGCACTCTGCTACTGTTTTCTCTAGTTTCTCTTCTAAAGCTGACTCTCTTTCTTTTCTAAAACAAAAGGTATATTTTGAAGTTTTGATCTGTTGAATAAGTATTTCTGTTTATTTGTTTCATGCCTATTGAGGGAAGTTTTGATTGTAACACTAATGTTTGCATCTCATCCCCTCCCAAATGAAAAAAAAAACCCTAGAGCCGAGTAGAAAAGAGTTTCATATGAAGATTCTAATTTCATCTTCCTGTTTGCTGTAGCTTGAAGGAAGTTCAAAATTCTGCGTGGAGGGAAAAAGAGTGACCTTATCGTCAAAGAGAAGGTAAAATTTTGCAGATGTGTCATGAATGTAACGATATGTACATTGCAGATCGGATGCAAAGCCTCTACTACAGTCATGCAAATCTCATACTACTGTAAATCTGCAGTGGGCTGGGAGGTTTTAATTATTCTTATTTATACCTACTAGTCGTTATTTCTATAGATGTTAGTGGTAATGTTTTCCACAATGAGAATGTAATTCTTTTCTTTAGAAAGTAACAAGTGAGCATTATATTTATCGGTATCAAGTCATAGCATGCTTTCAATATGAAGGAATTAGGATGATATCATTGTATCACTCACTTTCTACCAGTAGTATCAAATTTTGGCTATTTGATTTGCTCTTTCATTACATGTCAATATTATGCTGTAATTACTATTTTTTTCTTTCTTCACTGTTAATATGACTACTTGATATTTGTGTTCTAAGTAAGCACAACTGCACAATCAGATACCGAGTCATTCTAAATTAAATTATCTAAAATATTATTGATTTATGTCTTATAATTCTGGATTTTAGTGAGAATAATTTCATCGCAAATAGATATAACATTAGATTTTTATTTTATTTTTATTTTTTCTTTCTACTGGAATGAAATTTGTTAAACGTGGTTTAGGTTCACATAGCAACCCTCAAGTGCAAATTAAAATTAAATATATATATATATATAAAAAAAAAAAAACTCAATTTTAGTTTGACAATGACAACTACAATTTTAGAAAGACTTAAAAACAAATTATCAATTGCATGTCTACAACAGTAGTAACTCGGTTTAAAAGCTTGTCATTATAAGTTATAAAACTAACTCAGCAATTATTATATAGATTGCATCGTATAATCATATCATATGTAGACATTTTTTTATGTCAACTAAAAAGAAATGGAGGAAGTAATATACTTGTATTAAGAATAAATAAATACTCTGATAAAATCTTACTAGTATTAAAATATAAACCTACATTGGATAGGATTAACACTAGTTCACATTAAATTAAAATAGAGCAACTTTCCAAGTTGGTCAATTATAACATTATATGATAGGAGACTCAATCCAAGTAACTGGTGTGCGTTTGCCATTGCAATATTTGCGACGAATTGACGAGCCATAGTCTAACTTGTACCACCTCCCATCCGTTAAATTGTAAATACAAGTGTCTGAGCAATAAAATTTACATCCAGACCACTTCTTTGTTACACGATCATCAGTGTTGTATATGCAATTAGGCTTAAACCCAGACACACCAGATACATCCACAGAAAACGAAGAGTTCATACCTACAAAGATTGCTCTGTTCCCCAAACTTTGCACCTTCTTAACTTGACCATCTTTGACATTAAGCTCAAGGACCTCAAATCGCTTGGTCCAACGACGAAGGTTGATCTTATCAATTATCAGAGCCTGACGAACAACCAGTAATTGACCTAAAGATTCAACCAAGTAATGACACCAACTTTCAATGTAAGAGCCTCCTTCATTGTCAAAATTAGTATCCAACTTGGTTACCATTTGATAACGAGGACTACCTTGTGCTGTACCAAATTTCACAATCATTCCACGGAACTCAACTCCATAAAACTCACCTTGATAAAATGTTATATCACGGCAAAAAAATCTAAGAAAACTATTTAGATAAACTAAGGGCCTTCCTCCTACTTGTGTAGAATCCGTCACTGAAGTCCATGTCTTGTCGCGGCTCCTCCAATAAACCAACAATGGTGCACCATTTATACTTTCAGGTGCCACAGAAAGAAAAACAACAAAATCAGAGGTAGTCGACGGATTTGCTGACAAGATGAGTTTGTCAATTGAGTATCCAAGAATAGGGGTTAAAGAGTACGAGTTTTCTTCCCAAGACAACAAGTACCCACCCATGTGAAGATAGCACCATTTTCATGATCTTAAAATTGTCTTTGGAATGAGGGAGATCAATGCAACGGACCTTGCCCCTAGAGAAGCTATATAAATGTCGCCTCTTCGAGTAGTTGTTTCTCTTTGGCGGCAGCATCAGCCATGGAACTCTATGCTCATCACTATTGACACAAGCTCTATGATGAGCCTCCTTGGTGGCTAATCTCCAACTAGAACAAATCCAACGCAAAGTCTCGAAGTCTTCATAGAGTTTTACATGCTCTGCAATCTTAGTCACCAAATCTTTTGACATATTAGCCCAATTTGCCATGTTTGAAATGAATTCTCCAAGCAAAATCTTGTTAAATTTGACGGTATATATTGTAATTTGTTAGAGATATGAAATAAGGTTTATGGTTAGGTTAGTATATCTCTTAAAAATATTGTTTATGAGCATAGGATAATTTTTTGTTAACATTTAAATTGTTTACATTAGTAAAGTAATAGGTAAATTGTGCAAAAAGTCAAACTGCATCAATTATTATAAATCAGTTTTTAAAACAAATGTAACAGCTACCCATAAACGGAAAAGGGTCTTTTGTTAAGTTTGACAGTGGAGTAATATATTAAAATTGTTTGTAAATTACTTTGGCTGGCAGCAATTCTTCTCAATAACTATAAGAACATATCAACATACAATACATGGAAAACACAAATTTTAAATCAAGTTAAGTTGTGAAGCATTGGGGCTTCAATATCCACTATCATGTGATTCATCTCATCGGGTTTAAGGCCTGTTCACATTTATTTAAGTTCAGTTCAGCTCCAATCAATTCAGTTAAGTTCAGCTCCAATCAGTTTAGTTCAGTTAAGTTCAGCTCCAATCAGTTCAGTTCAGCTCATTTCAGGAAGTGACATCCGCCCAGAAATTCCGGAAATTCCAGGCGGATCCTCCATGGAACATCCGGAATTTTTGGGCGGATATTTCAATTTTTTTAAATTTTTTTTTTGCCCGTTAATAAAATTGTTAATTTTTTTTTTCGGATTTTGTTTTTTTTTTGTTATTTTGAAGTGTTATGGTGATTATTGTTATTATTATTGTTGATATTATTATTATTGTTGTTGTTATTATTATGGTTAGTATATTTTGTAATGTAATTATTTTTAAAAATATGATAATTTTTATTATTTTGTTGATATTAGGTTTTTATTATTAATGTTAAGGTTATTGTTGTTGTTGTTGTTAATTTGTTTTTTTTTTTAGATTTTGTTATTTTTGTTGTTATTTTGAAGTGTTATGGTTAGTATTATTATTATTGTTATTATTATTATTATTATTATTATTATTATTGTTATTATTATTACTAAAATCGGATTTTTAATTTTATTTTATGTAGATCGAGGGTTCTGGTGCTCGACATGCAATATCACGACGTCTGAATGCGTCTGTTAGGAGACAGACATCTCGATCTTCACCGCTTCAGCGCGAGCAGCAGCAATACGGGTCTACTAGTGGTTGGTCGAGAGACCAACAATCTAGTAGTAGTCGGCCCTTGTACTCTGCAAGTGGAGCACCCATATCTGACGAGGAAGACGAATGTTCGGCTAGTCATGCTGGTGACCGGGATGAAGAACAGGACCCTCAGGATTTTCATATGTATATAGGGGTCAGTTTGGGAGATTTGTTGGTAGTGGATCGAGTCATCCTACTTCCAGCTCTGCAGAGGCATGGTTAGTGCAGGAACCGATGCCGGGTGGGCCTGAGGATGGGTCAGTTAGTATATCTGGATGCCGGGTGGGCACGTAAGTATTTATGCTTATTATTATATTAACAATGACTTCTATGAATTTTTGTGTTTATAATATGTTATTGTTTGATTTGCAGTGGATGGGTCGGTCCATGGAGATTCACCAAAGAGCACTAGCTGAGTATCTTGAAATGTCGAGTGAGACTCGAACAATGACTGAGCAGCTTGTATTTGATTGGAAGTCAAAAATGGGACTTTAGATTATTTTGATTAGATGTTCTGTTAGTGGTTTTAATTATGTTATGAACTTCTTTTTATTTATTTTTTTAAATGTAATGTATAAACTGGAGACTTATTTTATTTTATATTTGATGTTTTGTTGCATATCATGTTAGATTAAAAGCAAATACATTTAAAATTAATTTCATAATTCTAATTTTCTTACAAATGTTCAAAGTTAGTGAATGTACATTACAAACTACCTAACTAATACATCCCACATGTCCCTTCTCAATTGATATGCTTGATCCCATCCATTGACACTATCCTCGTGGTGTTCCGTCCACCAACCGGCGATCGGCGGGAGTGGTAAATCAAGTACAAGGTCAAGACGGATAAAATGTGATCCACCAACTGTAGCAATCACAAACTCTCAAGTCGGTGACCGAACCCCGTTGCGTGCCCTAAGCGGTAAGACTGTGATGCATGGGTAGTAGCAAGTTGGTACTAGGCCTACTCTGAGACAAATCACCCTTGCGTTGAACCACGTAGCAATAGGAAATAAATCTTGAATTGTAACCATCCAATGCCGCTCCCCGACAGTCCCACCATCCCATCGAATACGCTCCACGTTCATCCAAAATCGCCCAAGCTCGTAAATCCGTTCGTACAAATCAGGATGACCAGTGATCTCGTTCGCTATTGTTTCCCGAGCGTCAAACCACTGTTCATGGACCTGGTAACTCAAATCCCGCATCCTTTTCGTCTCCTTATCCAGAACTTTCAAGCAATGTTGAGACACTTTGCCATTTATACGTGACAGTGGCAACTGTCTGTACATCTGACCAATTTTAGACCTTGATGCCTCCAAGTCATTACGAATTTGTATGATGCGATTACCGATATGACAATGGACTCGGGCCCATACGGTATCCAAAGAACCTGCCAATGATTCTAATTAGTAAATTCAAATACAATTACAATTAATACAATTACAATTACGTAACAACGAGAACAACTAATAAAATAATACAACTAACCTGTGGATGATTCAAACCAAGTTTTCACTGCTGAATGTTGGCTCTCAACTCTGCAGTTGGTGGTGTTACCAAAATGAAGAACCTGGTTCGTCCAAAATTTCACAAATTTCTCCTTATGACAAAGCCATGTTCTCTGAACATACTGAATCACTTCTGGATATTTTCCCCACCTCACTTGCATGGCAGTTAGAGCACGATCATACTCCGCCTGTGTTGTTGCATTCACGATTTTGAACCATCTCCCAGCTCTAAAACTGACACCAACCGTCTTGTTTCCAAACATCTTCGTCACCTTAGCCTCCACATCTCTGTTAATGTGCCATAGACAGAGTAAATGTGACGTCCCTGGAAAGACTTCTCTCAAAGCCGCACATAGCCCAAGATCACAGTCTGAAATAAATACAGATGGCTCTTTATCAAACCCAATCAACTCCCTTAATCTCTGCAACACCCACCGATAGCTAGCCGTGCACTCGTCGCGCATGAAAACATATCCAACTAGAAAATTCTGGTTTTTCGGTGTCACGCCTACTATCTCAAAGAAAGGCATGTTAAATCGATTGTTCTTGTAAGTAGAATCCATACCTATGACATGTGGGTATGTGTGGAGTATGTTGACCATGATCGGGTGCACCATAAATGCATGTTGCAAAACGTTGTGATCATCGTTCGTGACCCAGTCAATGTATTTACTCTCTCTCGCCAGATGAAGAAATTGCTGAACAACTCCTCTTCCTTCGGACATCTCCATCCTGAAGTCATTTCGGAAATTGTAAATGTGTCGGATGTTTGGATGATCATCAGGAAATTGCTCGGCAATAGTGGACATGATGTTACGGGGAGCAACCTTGGACTTTGTCATGTCCCGCACAACCTGTTTTGCACCCGGACTCAATCCGTTCACTTTACGATGACCCTCTGGGTACACAATCATTGGGTGGTTATGTGTCCCGGTGTGATCATTTTTCGCAATGATCTTCCAACTTTCGGTGCTGACATCATAATATATCTTGATGTAGAATGGACAACCATTAGTTTTGGTTTTGGTGTCCTTCCGTATCGCGTTCTCCAAATCTCTCGGCTTGCTCCTTCGTGACCGATCACATCGCAAATACCGATACGGCCGACCATCTGTGGTTTTGTTATAAGACGATTTCACCAATATAAATCCCAATTTTATGGAAACACCATCAGCCCATGTAACTGCATCGTCAAATGTAGGAAAAAACGTATCGGTGACAAAATTCCCACTATAATTCACACCATCACCGCCTTCCTCAGATTCCATATCCTATACAAATTAAACAAAACATGCTTTATGTCAAAATAATAATAATAAAAACAATAATAATAATAATAAAAACAATACTATTAATAATAATAATAATAATAAAAATACTAATAACAATACTAATAATAATAACAACAAATACAAAACAATAACAATATTAATGATAATAAAAAATTATAATAACAACTACAAAACAATTTATAAGACCATAACATTAATTAATTAATAAATAATAATAATAATAATAATAATAATAATAATAATAATAAAAATAATAATAATAATAATAATATTAAAATTATATTTCTACTAATTAATAATAACAATATCAACAACAACAACAATAAAAATAACAGCAACAACAACAATAATAATATCAACTACAACAACAACAACAATAATATCAACAACAACAACTACGATAATAATAATAATAATAATAATAATAATAATAATAATAATAATAATAATAACAACAACAATAATAATAATAATAATAATAATAATAATATTTTCAATAATAATAATAATAATAATATAAATAATAATAATAATAATGAAACAAAAAATAAACATATTACTAATAATCATATTAATACAACAAAATTACATTAATTATCAAATAATAAATCACAACAATAATCACAAGACCACGAAAAAAATACATAAAAAAAAACTTAATAAACATAAAAAAAATTATATAAACGTACTTAACATTTTTTAAAAAAATGAATAGGGACATCCGCCTAAAATTTCCGGATGTCCCTTGGTACATCCGCCTAAAATTTCCGGATGTACCATGGAACATCCGGATTTTTTAGGCGGATCCCATCTTCCGCTTGAAATTTCGGGCGGATGTACCAAGGACATCCGGAAATTTTAGGCGGATGTCCTAATTACCGAAAATAAAAAAAAACTTACAGAATGATCCGACGTATTCTCCAGCGTATGTATGTTCCACTCGCCGTCCATGACTCAAGACCCGTCGGAAAGTTTCACGATTTTTTAAAATAGAAAATTTAGGTGGTCGTGGGGACCGATTTGGTTGCAAGGTCGTGGTGACCGATTTTGGGAGGCTCGGGACAACAATGTCGTGAAGTGAGGGGATTGTTTCATGTATTGTGTCCAAATGGGGAACAAGGTCCTTTTTATAACACAAATTGCATAAAGGGCATAGTGGTCCATTCAAGTCAAAAAGGGAGCGTTACCTGGTAAATTGGGAGCGACATTTAGCAAATAAGTAAAGTTTGAGTTAAGCTAAAATAAGGTGCCTCAACTTTAGTATTAGTAGCATTTTGGTCCCTCGTCTTTCAAACGAAGCAAATTGGTCCCTCAACCACCCATAACTTACTTTTCCGGTGGAAAAAAGATGAGTCACCAAATTTTAAGGACCAAAGTGCCCATGTGGCAATAAAATAAAATAAATATTTTTAAAAAAGTTTAGGGACCTATCCTATTTAGCAAAAGTTTAGGGACCATGATTAATTAATTTTTTATTTTATTTTTTTGTCAGCTTTTTTTTAAAAGGGAATCTTTTAACTGACATTAATTTTTTTTCCATCAACATTAATATTTTGGTTATGATTTGTATTAATAAAACTATAGAATTTCCAAAAAAAAAAAAAGGATTTTCCACCTTTTCTCACCCTGCATCACCAACAACCTGCCACAAACACACAACCCCATTTCCACCAGTCTTCAGCCTTACCACCGTAATTTATCAACCACGCAACCTAAACCTCTGGTTCAGCTGAACTATATTGCCAATGAGCCTGTACAGAATTAATTAAATCAGGAGGCCAAGATTAAATCACAAAATAAAACAAAGGCTGGAATTAAAAGATGGTGATTGCTGATGATCGTTAATGAGGTGCAAAGTAGGGGATTGTTTCCCCCATTAGAGCAGCCAAATCGAAAGAGAAAAAGAGAGGGCTTACCCTGTTTTTTTTTTTTAAAAAATTTCTTTATTTTTTCTTTTCCTATTTCTTTAATTTGAAGTATTTAATTTATTTTTCTGAAAGAAAGTCGAAGTATTTAATTTTTTAAGTCATATTTAATTTTCTTCTTTAATTCTTTAAATCATATATTTTTTTAAAAAGTCATTAATTTTTTTAAAAAGCAAAAATTTTTGGTATGTTTTCTTTCATTTTAATCAAAGTTTGTACATAATAAAAAATAAATATTAATTAGTAGCTGACAAAAAAAAATAATAATAATAATGATTTGTAATCCCTAAACAAACGCTAACTAGGATAAGTCCCTTAACTTTTGCTTAGTTGGCAGTACACAAACTCAAACTTTGCTGAGTCATAAGTTCCTCCACCAAAGATGGTGAGGCAAGGGTGGTAGAGGGACCAATTTGTCTCATTTGAAAGATGAGGGACCAAATATGCAACTAATGCCATATTTCAGGGACTGTAATTTAACTTATCTCCTTAAAGTTTACTACGAAGTATTTTTCAAAAAAGAATATGGACCTTTTTCATACTTATTTTAAAGAAAAAATATATAAAAAAAAAAGTTGTTGAAATGATAAATATTATAAAAATCGGTAAACCGTGCATTGCACGAGACCATGACTCAAGGAACTAGTTTGTACAAAATAAACTTTAAGAAAAGTATATATACATTAATATCGAAAAATAATAGGAAAATTTATCATTAAAATCTTTTAAAAGAACCATTTTGCAAATAATAATTGTTTCGTACAAGCGAGTGTACCATGCGAATTCTACACCATCACCTTATGGATAAAAGAACATTAATTATAAATAAAATAACATTAATAATAAATAAAAGAACATTACATATAAATTAAAAAAAAAACATCATATATAACTAATATATAAAGGAGATTGCGACACTTGGCGTTCCAAATTTTCGCCAAGTTCAAGTGTCGCACCACGTTGGATAGATTTAAATAGAGTTCATAAGATAAAAAAGTTAATTTAGACTTCTATTTGGATAAAATTTTAGGATAAAATTGTTAGTTTAGAGTTTTATTATCGATAAAATACCAATATTTCATATGTACAAATTGAATTATAATTTTATTTAATAAAAATATTGTATTAGATTCTAATTATAAAAAATTATCATATAAATTTAATTATATTTTATATCATAATATTTTTTGGAGCGAAGGAAGTAGTTTAAAGCGTAAAACATCCATTTATAATATATACTAATCGGTTAAAATTATATAATTCATAATCTAATAGAATGAATACATGTCAATTAGGGTTGGGTCATGAGTTATTTCGGATTGAGTCAATTCAGGTTACGAGTTAAGAAATGTTCAACCCTTGCCCAAAGTTTTGTGTTTGGGTCAATCCAACGTGCTTTGAAAATTAATTTTATTTAGTTTATTTTTTGCTAACTTTGTTTTATTTTTTTAATGTATTAATTCGAACATTTTCATCAACATTATTATTATTAGTCATTACATGCATCTTAGATAGCAAATCGTCAAAAAATCACATCAATTCCTAACTAATTTTGTATCAATGATATATTTTAAAAATTGACATATAGATTATAAATTTATCTTAAAATTCAATAAATAACCCGGGCATCGCGTGTGGCACAAAACCAGTTTTTTGCAATATAATTTTATTATGTTGCATATATATATCAATATACTTCACAAAAAATTATATTAATATTATAAAAGGATGTTTTACGTTTTGAACTACTTCCTTTATTAAATGGCACAAAACGTAAAACATCCATTTATAATATTAATATACTTCACAATCTAATATAATTTTTTTGCAATATAGACCTATCAATCAATTAGGGCCAGGTCATGAGTCTTCTCGGATCGAGTCACTTTAGGTTACGGATAAATGTTCAACCCTTACCCAAAGTTTTGGGTTTGGGTCATAAGCAACCCGGGCTCTGCACGGGGCACAAAAATAGTTACTTATATAAAAGAACATTACATATAAATAAAAGAACATTACCTATATAAAAAAAAATCAAAGTTATAATAATTTATTATACATTATAAACGAACATTAATACATCAAAAAGAAGGTTACATATAAAATAAAGAATATTACATATGAATAATGGAAAAATGCTACCACCCAAATCCATGGAAGAAAAACATGAACGACTAACAATGGTAGTGCCAAAAATTCAAACAATCAAGTAATTTCATGATGCTATTAAAAAAAAAAAGTAATTTCATGATAATAAAGCTTCATATGAACAACAAACATTGTCCTTAAACACAAATATAGATAAAAATAGCAAGCAAAGAGAGTTCACCATTGAAGCACAACCTAGGGTTTCATATTCATGAAATATAACAAAGATGAACAACAAAAGAGAAATAATCATACCTCAAATGAGTAAGAAAACTCTTATAAAGTGAATTAATAGTGGAAATCAAGCAAGTAGAACACTCAATTGCAAGTTCTTTCGCCAAAATAAAAAATACCCAAAATTCTCAAATCATGAAAAATCCAAAAATTTGATTGTGAAATTCGGAATTTAGAGTGTAAAATCTAGTAAAATTGTGTTTGTAAGTGATGAATTAAGCACATAAAGGCTATAAAAATCAAGAAATAAAATGAAAAAAGAAGTTAGAGGGAGAGGAGAGAGAGTGTCGAAGATAGAGAAAATAAAAGGGAACCTTGCATATAAAATAAAGAACATTACATATAAATTTCTTCCAAAAAATAAAATTACATATAGATAAAAACATTAAATTTTTGCCATACTTATTATGTGCTTAGGCCATGTACCTATACTTATAATAATGCACTGTATTAATCTTCCTGGTAATTTTTAAAAGGCACTTTCTCTAACCCTTGTCTTCTAATGCTGCAAGTAAAATTAGAGACTCGTTTCATGCCACTCCTCCCCCTAGTGCTTTCTTAATGAATTTTGTATCCTAGTTTAAGTATAACAAACACCTAGAAATCTTTTTCCTTGAGTGGGTTTTCTTTAGCATAATTGTTTTCATTCGCTTGATTATAGTCCCTACT